ACAACTCATTCCTCTTTCACCTGTATTCCCTAGACATAAAAGTTGTAGATTTGGAAACGGTTGGGGCGTCGGATAGATGATAATACGTGGGCGGGAGGCGCGAGTCACGTGACGGCGGCGGAAGGATGTGGCCTGTGATGCGTCCTCACAGAGGCAGAGTCTATAAAGGATCCGCGCTCGGCTGCTGCCGCCATTTTTTCTTCCTCCCGCCTATAGATGTAGTTCCTTCGGGCAAGTGCGCACCGTCTTTCCTCCCGCTCCCCCCAGGGTCCGCGGCCACCATGGCGCATTAGAGGCAGCAGTGCCTGCGGCAGCATCGGCCTTTGCAGCGGCGGCAGCAGCACCAGGCTCTGCAGCGGCAACCCCCCAGCGGCTTAAGCCATGGCGTAAGTACCAGGGAGGAGCCGCTCGGCTGAGCGCCCCCGGGTCGGTGAGGGGTTTTTCGCCTGTTTGGGCGCGGCCGACGGCCTGGCGGCGTCGCGGAGGGGGAAGCGGTTTTACGAGCGCCTAAGGACGCGTGACTCCTGCTTGGGTGTCCCCGAAACGCCGGCGCCCTTGTGTCGGGAGACAGCGGCGTTTTGCCTCGAAGCGAAGCCCTGGTCGGCCCCGGGCTCCCCGGAAGCCACCGGAGTCCCACCTGCCGTCCCGCGAAACGTGGCAGCAAAGATGGCGGCGGGGCAGGGCGGCGGCCGCGGCTTGAGTCGGAGGGGCGTGGGCGGGGCCGGGCGGCTCGGGCCGGATTTGGACGCGAGGGTGGGGCGACTTCCTCTTGGGGCCGGTAGAGAAGGGCCGGGCGTCCATCTTGTGCGGCCTAATGTAAGGGTGACACCATGGCCTTAGGGCCACGTGGTCCCTATTTTCAACACGAAGTGGAGTTCTGATTTCGCCATCCTGCCTAATGGGTGAGAAGATGAAGTTCTCGGACCAGCTGATTTCTAATGGGACTCGGTTTCTAATTGCTATCCAGGCTTTTCACGGCATTCAGCAGCAGCCTTGCTGTAATCGACAAAGACACCTTCGAATTAAGCACATTCCTCGAATTAAGCACCAAAAGCTCGCAACATGGCCGAGATGAGCTTCCTGAGCAGCGAGGTGTTCGTGAGGGACTTCGTGTCCCCCTTCGACCCGTCGGGTTTGGGGGCTGAAGAGAGCTTAGGTCTCCTAGATGACTACCTGGAGGTGGCCAAGCACTTCAAACCTCATGGGTTCTCCTGCGACAAGGCTAAGGCAGGCTCCTCCGAATGGCTGGCTGTGGATGGGTTGGTCAGTTTCTCAGACAACAGCAAGGGTAAGAGGGATTTTTTTTTATTTCCTTGTGGGATCTGGTGATAGGGGCTCCTACATTTGATTCACGTTTCTTCTAACTTTTTATGTTTTCTAGAGGATGCTTTCTCCGGGACAGATTGGATGGTGGAGAAAATGGATTTGAAGGAGTTTGATTTTAATGATACCCTGTTGAGTATGGATGACCTGGAAACCATGCCAGATGAGCTCTTGGCCACGTTGGATGACACGTGTGATCTCTTTGATCCCCTACTCCAGGAGACTAACAAGGAGCCCCCCCAGATAGTGAACCCAATTGGCCATCTTCCAGAAAGTTTACCAACAATTGACCAGGGTGCCCCCTTCACTTTCTTGCAACCTCTTCCCCCTTCCCCAGGGGCCCTTTCTTCCACTCCAGATCATTCCTTTAGTTTAGAGCTGTGCAGTGAAGTGGTTATCTCTGAAGGAGATAGCAAGCCAGACTCCACCACTTGCAGTACTGTGATCCCTCAGAGCATAAAGGAGGAGGATGCCCCCTCAGATAATGATAGTGGCATCTGTATGAGCCCCGACTCCTCACTGGGCTCTCCCCAGCATAGCCCCTCCACCTCCAGGGGCTCTCCAAATAAGAGCCTGCTATCTCCAGGTGCCCTCGGTGGCTCTTCCCGCCACAAACCCTACGACCCTCCTGGAGAGAAGATGGTAGCAGCAAAAATAAAGGGTGAGAAGCTAGACAAGAAGCTGAAGAAAATGGAGCAGAACAAGACAGCAGCCACTAGGTACCGCCAGAAGAAGAGGGCAGAACAGGAGGCTCTCACTGGTGAATGTAAAGAGCTAGAAAAGAAGAATGAGGCTCTGAAAGAGAAGGCAGATTCCTTGGCCAAGGAGATCCAGTATCTTAAAGATCTGATAGAAGAGGTTCGCAAGGCAAGGGAGAAGAAAAGGGTCCCCTAGTTAGGGTAGTCAGGAGTATGTGCGCTTGTATATAGGAGGCTGAAGCTGTGTTTTAATAAATTATTTTGTAGTGAAAGTACTACTACAGAGTCTGGTGTGTTGCCTCTGGTAAGTGTCCTAATGAGTCCCCCCAAAGTCTCAATTGCTGTGGGATTGGTGGTTAGTACTTAAATGCACAGTGAGATTATTTTTTTCCTGACACTGTTGGGCCATAGGTGAAGATTTTTTAATAACTGCTGTGCTGGGTCTTATCCCTGAGTAGGGATGGAGCCTGGACCCTCTGCATTGGGAGCAGGAGTTGTAACCTCTGGAACACCAGGGAAGCCCCAGGATGACTGATGTGGTTGGACCTGAGACACTTGAGTTGGTTTACATTCCTCCAGTAGTAGGTCTTTGGGTTTTCCGCTGAAAACCAAGAACTGTTAGACTTGATGCTACTGCCACCCTTGGGTGTGAGGCTGCGGAATTAGCCCAAGAAACAGGGTGGGAGGAAAAGCCTGGACTCCACTCCTGTTGTCTTTGTGCCAATATTAAATACAGAAGCTTCTAATGTTTTACAGGCCTCTTTCCATAAGGGTCTGTTGAGAGAGAGCTAGCTCTAAAGTGCTGAAACAGATGAGTGAGGTCAGCAGGCTGGCTGGTTCTCAGGCTCCCTTCTGGCACCTAGGCCCGCTAGCTAGAAGGCCTGCTATCCATGGGTGGGGGGTTGGGGAAGAGTCAGGGTGGAAGGGCACTGGCGCCACACTGCTCTTAAAACCCTGGCCGGTAACATACTAATTACAATATTGTAGTGGTTTCTGCCACACACTGACAAGAATCAGTCATGGATTTACTTGTGTTCCCCATCATGAACCCCCCTCCCACCGGTGACATCTTAAAGTAGGATATGGCAGACACTTTCTTTGGTGGGATTGAGACAATCCCAGCCTGGGTAGGTTTCTTTAGTCCTTTGGGGCCTGTGGAGGGGAGATGAGTGTTCCATGGTGAAGAACAATGTAGAGGAATGGGTCACAAGGGTTATGTGAATGTGGCACCAGGCACTGTTCTAGACGCAGTGCCCATCGTGACCCGTGTCCTACAGCAGGGGGTACTCAGGAGTGGTAGGGCCAGCCGTTTGAACCCAGGGCTGGGCTGCTTGGTGCTGACCTAGGTGGGAATTTTTTCCAGGGAGCCAAGGGTGGCCTTGGTGATTTTCGAGGTCTTTACCTGAGGACAGGAAAAGTTGTGGACACAACGGGCAGAGCACTTGAGAAAGCAGCTCAGGCCAAGCCTTGGAGGTGGGGATGAAACCCCAAGAAATAAAAAACTTATCGCAAGAGGACTGCCCCACCCCAGCTCTGCTAGAGGAAGTCACTGAATATGGCCCACCCAACTCCTGCATAAACTTGTTACGCCTCCCACCCACGTGCCCATGTGGCTGTCTTGCTAGGGCCTCAGCCAGCCCCTCCACTCATGGAGACCCAGGGCAGTGGATGGCTGGAGCAGCCCACCCCATGTGGAAGCCACAGGAAGCCTTGGCTGGGGCTCTGCTGGTTATTGTAGGGTCTCCAGGCAAATGTGCCAGCTGCTCCAAACCATCAGAGTCATGTTTCCAGGTACTTCACAGCCACTCAGAACTGGTCTTTTCTAGCTTTGGCCTCAATATGGCAACCTAGTGTCCTCTTGGCTCCTGAGCCTTCCTTTCCCATCAGACCTGTCAGTTGCATCCTTGTTAGGAAAGGGGGCCTGATCAGCCTGTTCTTCAGGGAACAAGAGGCAGTGAGCAGCTGAGCCTGCTTGCCAAGCTACTTAAAAGAGAAAGGACACCCAACGGCCTCTCCCTGCAGGGGTGGAGGGTGGAGAGCTCAGGGCACACCCGCCTCACCCTTCTTGGACAGGCCCATCTGGGGACACTGGCACAATACCGCTTTGAAGTCTCAGCTCCTGTCCTCCCACCTTGACTTCCTGGAAGGCCGGCCAGCTTTCTACTCAGATGGCGGCCACCTGCAGACAGGAAGGATTCCAAATTGGACTCAGGCAGGTCTGTGGTCCCTCTGTGTCCCCACTGAGGATGGAAAGCTGGATAATAACCAGGGAAAGTGTTCCCCATCCCAGGATGGGTGTGTAAGGGGCAAAACCCTCTCCTGCACTAAAGAACTTACGGTGGGATGGGCCAACTCGCTTCCCAGCCACGGGGCCCTTTGGAAGTTCTTGCCAGACAGTGCATGTCCCACGGAGCTTTTTAGGCATGGGTGAGTGGGGGCCCTACAAGAGCCAGACTAGCAGCCTGAAGGCCCCCAACCTGTGCCCAGAAGAATTCCTGGGGCTTCCAGGACTTGTCAATACCACACTGAAGACCAAGCGGGGTAGCACTGCTCACCCACTCAGGCATTCTGCTCAGCAGTGCCGGCGCCCCCCAGACATGGCCCAGCCTCCACCTTCCCCCTCACCTTGCTAGCTCCCACCTCATGTGACAGGGGGTAAGGGGAAAAAAGTGGCCTTTGATGTGTCCCCCCACCACGTGTGCCCGCGCCCTGGGCACTGGCCTGAGGCAGCAGTGATCTCTCCCTCAGACCCTGGTGTTGGCTTCCCTGGAATGAGCCCACAGCAGCTGTGGGTGCTATTTTTGCCTCAAGAGCTGCCTTCTCAGCTGTGGCTGCCCTCCAGGGGGAGGAGACCAGTGGAGGCTGGCGCCTGCACTGGGGCTGAGCCCAAGGACTTCTCACCTGGAGCCTAAGAAGCAGCTGGAGGGGGAGTGGGGTGGACGCTCCTTGGTACCAGGGGAGACGATGGGAGACACCCTGTTTGAGCAGTACACAGCCCGGGGGCCACATTTATTAGAACCCGGAAGCCCACCCAATGGCCCTCCTCCTGGCGGGAGGTGTGGTCCCCGAGGGCCCAGTGACAGGCCTCTGCACGGCAAACAGCCCAGAGGCCCTCCCTGGGGCAAAGCAAACAGAACAGCGGGAAGCGTTTCTTTCTGGCAGGCAGGTGGCACCTCCTGAGCCTGGAAATGTCAGCTCAGTCTGAGCTGAAGGCCCTCCTGTGGGCTTCCAGCTCGCCAGCTCCCCCAGGAGTTCCCCACGCCGGGCTGAGAGGTCAGAGGAGGCTGTGCCCGCCTGGGAGCCTAGCTGCCGAAGTATTCCTGCTGGAACTTCTGGAAGTCTTCCTCGGTGAACACGGTGCCCTCGGCCTTCTTCTTCTTCTTGGTCTTGGTCACAGGCCGGTCACAGGCCTTGCGGCCTCGGTTCTGGCGCACAATCTGGGGGCATGTGGGGGTCAGGAGCCCTGGGTGGTGACTCAGCCACCTGGAGCCCCACAGCCTGGCGCAGCCACCCAAGGGCTGCCCTCTCCCCCGGCCCTCTCCGCGTCCCGGGAGGGGGAGGGCACGTCGTTTCCGTTGACAGAAGAGCCAACCGAGGCCCAGAGGGGCCGCAGGGGAGTGAGGCCGGGCTCCCTCCTCCCCGCTCACGCTGTCCGCCCTCTGAGGAGGCCCCTCACTGCACAGCAGCGCAGCTCTCAGGAGCCTGGAGGGGGACCCACCCCGATCCTAGCCTCAGGGCTGAGACTCCCACGGATCCCCGGGACAGCCTCAGCTTTCACCCCCACTTCCCACAGCCCACCCCCCTGACGAACCTGCCGGGTGATGGATTCGTCCACTGTGCTTCTTGCACTGGTCATAAACCTCAGGTTTACTCCAAGGTAACCTCGACGCTCTCTCTTCCGGAACTCAGCTGTGGAGGCAGAGAGGGTGGTTTCATTCCAGATTCACTCCCTGGAAGCCACCTGGGTCCCCTTCTGACGTCTCCCCACTCCACCCCCGCCCCCCAGCCCTGCCGAAGGCCCCATGGTCCATTCCCCATGTCACTGCAACAGTCTGGCCTCTTCTGTCAAAACCACACTCCACACAGATCCCGCTCAAAGTCCCCCTTGGTTCCAGCTGCTCAAGTGATTTAGTCAACAAATGTGTCCTGGGCCTTTACTGTGTGTCAGGCACTGTTCCAGGTACAAGAGCACAGAGCCGGAAACAGAACAGACCAAAAGTCCTGCCCTCATGGAACTTCCATTCTGAAGGAAGACAGATGGTAAACAAGGCAAACAGTATTTTAGAGGGTGAACGTTTTATTGAGAAAAAGAGAACGGTAAACAGAAATGAGAAATGTGGGGGATGGGGGGAAGGTGGCAAGTCTAAATAAATAAGCTTTGAGAAGAGCTGAAATTCACTGAAAGAAATTCTGAGCAAAGACTGGTGGAAGAGCATTCTGGAGAGACAACAGTCAGTCAAAGGCTCTGAGGCAGAAGTGTGACTAATGTGCTTGAAGGATGGGGAGGGGAGAACCTGAGGGGACAAAGCTGGAGGGGGCAGATTATGGAGGGCCTCAGCAGGCATGGAGGCATGGCAAGAACTCAGGCTCTCACCGAGGCTGATGGGAGTCCCTGGAGGGTGCGAGGCAAGGTAGAGACAGGTCTGACCTCAGGTCTGACCTAGGATTTTACGGCATCACTTCAGCTGCTGTGGTGAGAAACAGATGAGGGGAGGCGGAAGGAGGAGACCAATTAGGAGGTTTTTGTAATAATCCAGGCAAGAGACAGTGTAGCTCAGACCAAGGTGGCAGCCACAGAGGAGTCCTTTAGGTTGGCCCTGAGAGTCCCCTCACTCATGTGCCATGGCAGGGAGGTGGGGTGGGTGGGGATGGAGGGTGTTGCCCGCTCCACCCTGGCATCACTGTGGCTCACTTCCCAGCTTTCACACTTGCTCCTGTTGTTTTTCCTCCCCGAGATTCATAGTTCTTTTAACAAATACTTGAACACCTTTATATTGCACCAGGCCCTGGGGATTTGAGGCTTCTCTTGTGGCTCAAGACAGTAAAGAATCTGCCTGAAATGTGGGAGACCTGGGCTTGATCCCTGGGTTGGGAAGATCCCCTAGAGGAGGAAATGGCAGCCCACTCCAGTATTCTTGATTGGAAAATCTCAAGGACACAGGAGCCTGACGGGCTACAGTCCATGGGGTTGCAAAAGAGTCAGACACAACTGAGCAACTAACACTGGGGATCTGAAGACACACTAGGAGCTTACCGAGTCCTGCCACAGGTCAAACCATCAAACACCCCACCATCCTGCCCACACCTGTCCCTCTTCAAGTCTGTACATCTCATTAAGTGGCGCCAAATCCCTCAAGATGCTCGGTTCTCGCCGACTCCCTCTTCCTCCATCCTCACAGCTAATCCACCACTGACACCATCAACACAGCTTCCATCTGCAGGACTCTCTTCTTGACTCTGCACTGTCACCACTGCTCCGGCCACAGCTCCTTCTACTTGAAGGAATAGGTGGGAGAAGGGCTCTGGAGACACATTGCCTGGTTTCCACCTGTACCATCTGGGCAGGGGTCTGTTTCTGCATCTGTTCAATGGGGGTAATGACTGCGCCGACCTCACAGGGTTGTGAGAACAAATGAGCAAACATTTGTCAGAGGTTTAGAAGAGCACCCGGAGGGTTAACTTGCATTAAACGCTGTCTCTGACCCTCGTTTACTATATGTCACCTCGACCAGGCTTCTTTCTTTCAACATTTCAAAGATTAATAATAAACTTCTGATTCCACATATGCCAAGAGTATACTTACCCCAGCTCATTCTTATACTTCCATCAGGTCTGTGCTTAAATGTCACTTCCTCAGAGAAGTCTTTATTCTAAGTCCCTTTCAAAGTACCCTAGTTTTACAGCTGAAGAAGGCAATGGCAACCCACTCCAGTACTCTTGCCTGGAAAATCCCATGGACGGAGGAGCCTGGTAGGCTGCGGTCCATGGGGTCGCTAAGAGTCGGACACGACTGAGCGACTTCACTTTCACTTTTCACTCTCATGCATTGGAGAAGGAAATGGCAACCCACTCCAGTTTCTGGCCTGGAGAATCCCAGGGACTGCGGGGCCTGGTGGGCTGCCGTCTATGGGGTCGCACAGAGTCGGACACGACTTTAGTGACTTAGCAGCAGCAGCAGTTTTACAGCACAAACCTCATCATAGCGACCCAACCACAGGCTGATTTTGAAACTCCTCAGTGCTCTCTCCCCACTAGGACTGTAGACCTTGAGGGTCGGGACGATGTGATTCGTTCATCTCCGTGTTCCCAGGACCCCGCTCCGGGCCCGTCGCACCGCAGGTATTCTAGAAATGCCTGGGGAGCATTTGAAGCCCTGACTCCAGCGCCAGTTCCTCTAGGGCACTGCCCCCGGCCCTCGGGAGCAGCGCGTTCAGCCCCTTCCCAAGCTCACCCAGCGCCGACTTGGGCACCTTTCCCTTGGCGGAGTTCCGCAGTTTCTGTGCCTGGGTCGCCTTCGCCTTCCGCGTCCGCTTCGTCGGAGCTTGGCTTGGTTTGGTGGGTCCCGGAGCGGCTCCGGGGGCTGTAAAGAACGGATTCGGGTCGGAGGGCGCTCAGGGTTCCCATCCCACCGAGGCTAAGACTGGTTTGGATCGTTCGGCACCTTCGGGGCTGCTGCCCCCAGCCCCTGCCACCTTCCCGCCAGGCCGAACGTCCTCGGGGAGAGCCTCACCCTCAGGAGCCCCCAATAGCTCCAAGCCTCGCCGCAGCAAGGCGGCCGACATGGCTGCGCTTAATCCCGCCCACACGTCTCAACTACTTCCGCCGTTGGCTCCCTTGGTGGTTTCCGCGGAAACCTGAGCTAGAACCAAAAGTTCCACTGTGAGAGGACGGAAATACCCGCCTTCCTTAGAACGCCTGAGTGAGGTAATCGGAGGGAAGGGGGAGGGGTATGGAGGCGGGGCCAAAGCGCCGAAGGAGGCATTTGTCGTCCAATCGCAACCCAATCAACCCTTTGAGAGACAGGCGGCACCTTCTTCCGAAAGCCGTGCGCCAGTAGCCCAGCCAGGCAGCTAAAGCCTCTCGGGTCTGGCCTTTGCGTAGTGGGCAAGGCCGGGGCAGGGGCGCAGTGTTTGTGTTCTCAATTTTTACGAAAAAGGAGAATATATTTTTGGAAGTATTTTTTACATATTCTTCAACCAGAGCAACGTATAGTTCGGCATGAGAATCCAGCTCTCTTGCATTAAATCAGACATTAAAAATATTTGCAAAAACTCCAAATAGTATCAGTGTTTTTTTTTTTTTTTACTGTTTTGTTTGGTTTTGGAAAAGACAACCATTTTCGTTAAAATGTGTCACTTACGTTAACATGTGAGTTTGTTACTATTAATTTTAAATTAATAGACATTTAAAAATGTATCTGTTTTAGTTTCTAATGTGGCGATTCTCATTCAGTTCAGTTCAGTCGCTCAGTCGTGTCTGACTCTCTGCGACCCCATGAATCGCAGCACGCCAGGCCTCCTTGTCCATCACCAACTCCCGGAGTTTACTCAAACTCATGTTCATCCAGTCGGTGATGCCATCCAGCCATCTCATCCTCTGTCGTCCCAAAAGCTCTTTGGGATCCTGAAGTTTTTTAAGAGGGAAGAGGTTCTTTGGCTGCGCAGGTGGCTCTGTGGTAAATAATCTGTCTGCCAGTACAGGATTCACAGGAGCCACGGGTTCGATCCCAGAGTCTGCAAAATCCCTTGGAGGAGGAAATAGTATTCCACTCCAGTATTCTTGCATTGGAGAATCCTATGGGCAGAGGAGCCTGGCAGGCTACAGGCTATGGGGTTGCAAAGAGTTGGACATGACTGAGCGCCCAAGCAAAGAGTTTCTTAGATAAAATATTGATAGTTTGAGAAATTCTGGCTTAGAAATTAGTACTCTTCTTGCTGTGGGGAGTAACCCTGTCTTGTTCACTGTTCCATCTGAGCTCCTAGCCTGGCATTCAGAAGGCACTCAATAAGTGAGTGGCGAATGAATTCGCAGTACAAACATGTTCTGAGGGCCTTTTGTATACTAGACTCTGTAGAGTGTAGGACGTGGAGGTGACTCAGTTGCTCCTATGTGAATGAACCTTACTAACCTCCACCAGCTAGTCCAGAAGGGAGAGAAAAACCTAAACAAACAATAATAACAAACACTTCTTCGAGGTGCTGTTTTCAGTGTTTAACATTTGTTGACTTAACTTGTACCACCCCCCTCGCTCTGAAGTAGAAACCACTGTTTCCCCCATTTTACAAATGGCCCAGAGGGGCCAAGGAACCTATCCAGGTCACACAGGTGGTGTCAGAGCTGGGACTAAAGAAAGACCATCGGGCCGGAGCATTTATGCATTGCTGGCCTACGCCAGCTACCCAGGATGCGGTGTGTGTCAGGAGACCTCTGCAGAAGAGCTGGCCGTGTGGGAGGGGAGTGTCCAGAGCAGGAGGCCCCTGTAGTGGGGGCATGTCCCTTGGGACAGGTGTGGCCCTGGAGGAGCAAAGGGCTGAGTGAGTTCATTGGCATCAGGGCCACAGATTTGCCCTGATGGTCCCACATCCCAGTGATGTCATCAGACAGGCTCTTTTTTCCTGCTTCTGAAATGGCCAGATTTTCTTATTTCTGTTACTATATATTCATTGGAAGGACTGATGTTGAAGCTGAAACTCCAATACGTTGGCCACCTGACGCGAAGAACTGACTCAATGGAAAAGACCCCGATGCTGGGAAAGATTGAAGGCAGGAGGAGAAGGGGATGACAGAGGATAAGATGGTTGGATGGCATCATGGGTGCGATGGACATGGGTTTGAGTAAGCTCCGGGGGTTGGTGATGGACAGGGAAGCCTGGTGTCCATGGGGTCGCAAAGAGTCAGACACGACTGAGCGACCAAACTGAACTGATACATTCATGTAGTGTTTATTGAATGTTTCCCCACCCATTCCTCAGTATAAACTCTATAATGGCAGGCATCTTTCTTTATTCACTATTACATCAAGCGCCTGGAACAGAGTCTGGCATTTTGTAAGGGTTCCATAAACGTGCAAATCAGAGAGAGGAAGGCAGAGATGTCCAGGTCCACTCATCGTGGGATGAGTGAGTCTGCCTTTCAGGAGGACAAAGGACAAAGCTCGACCGTACCCCCTGTCTCCTCCCAACGTGGGATGGATGGTCAGCACATGGTTGCCAGAGTGGAGGGATTTTTTATCTCCTTATGTCCCAAACAAGGAGTGGATTCCTGCAGCGTCTTTGCCGGCCTCTGGAAGTGACAAGCGGCCGCTCCGGCCACTAGGTGGCGCCGCAGGACCACTTTCTCTCATCGCGCGGCTCTGCATCCGGTTTGCCGCGGTCCAGGCTAGGGTCAGAGCGTGGGGTGGGGACATGCCTCGGAGTCGGCTGGCTCTTTGTGGTCAGCCCTGCCCCGCGCCCTTCCAAGACTGAGTGGGGAAGCGGAGGCAGAGCCACCAGGCTGGGACTGCCCAGCGGGGAGATAAGGCTTTCTTATGGAAAGGTGTGCAAATGACAACAGGGCATTCACCCACTCCCTTAACAGACAGTGCCTCAGTTTCCTCATCTGTTAAATGGGGCTTAGCTTCCTGATAAAGTGAGTAGGAGGAGCCAGTAAGTTAATACTGATAAAGCTTGTATTACCCGACTAGGGACTGAGGGGGTAAGTACCCCACGAGGGTTCCTGGTGAATATTACTGCCGGGTCTGCCCCACTCTGACCAAGAACAAAGTGCCTGCAATTGGGCACCTTAGAAGTGCCAGGCCTGTCCTGGTCCGGCTCCAAGAGGGCAGCTCCCTCCTGCTCACTCCCTGCCCTGGGGAGTTGGGAGGGGGGCCGTGAGGTCTCACAGGTGGGTTCCTGTCCCGGCTGCCTGACTTCCCGCTACTTTCCTGCTCTCAGCCTGTTTCCTCCTCTGTCCTCACCGAGGACAGTTCCTCGGTGGAAGTGCTGGGCTCCTGCCTGAATTGAAGTGAAAGTCACTCAGTCGTGTCCAACTCTGCAACCCTATGGACTGTATAGTCCATGTAATTCTCCAGGCCAGAATGCTGGAGTGGATAGCCTTTCCCTTCTCCAGGGGCTCTTTCCCTACCCAGGGATTGAACCCAGGTCTCTCGCATTGCAGGCAGGTTCTTTACCAGCTGAGCCACCAAGGAAGCCCAGGAATACTGCAATGGAGAGCCTATCTCTTCTCCAGCGAATCTCCCCAACCCAGGAATCGAACTGGGGTCTCCTGCATTGCAGGCAGATTCTTTACCAGCCCGCCCGACCCTTCTCTGGGTGCCCCTCTATGCCTGCTCAGCCCAGGCCCTTAGCTGCACAGAAGAAGTACCCGGGTGATGTGGCCACCTCCCCAGCCCCTGTTGCACACATGCCGCATCCTAGTCTCCTTCCTGGCAGTTCTGGAGCCAACTTAACCTCACCAGGCCTGGGTGAGGGAACCTCAAGGCTCAGAGGGAGGTAGGGTCTTCTGCAGAGTCACAGGGTATTTCAAGAGCAGAGGGAGGACTAGGACCCACGACTCTGAGTCCTGATCAAGAGTGTGCATGAGTGTGTGTGTGTGTGTGTGTGTGTGTGTGTGTGTGTGGCCATTTTGAAATTTTTTTCTTTTCTCTCTTTTTATTAAAAAAAAAAATTATTTGACTGTGCTGAGTCTTAGATGTGGCATGTGGGATCTTCAGTTGCAGCAGATCTAGTTTCCACTGTCCAGGAACTGGATGTGGGATCCAGTTCCCTGTCCAGGAGTGAAACCTGGGCCCCCAGCATTGGGAGGAGGGGCTGACCACTGAACCAGCGGGCAAGTCCCTGTGTGGCCTTTCTGAACTATGTGTTGGGGGGCACCTGGGATCTTGCTATTTGCTTTTGCCTCCCCCTCTTTCTGTGAGTCTCTTAATCTCCTCACCTTTATCTCTGACTCTGTCTCTCCATGTCTCTATCCTCTCCTTTTCTCCCTATCTCTGAGTCCTCTCTGTTTCTTCCTCAGTCACTGCACTGTCCCCTCACCCCCACCCTAAGCTCCCAGCCTCTCTCCACCTTCAAATTGAAAACCCAAATGGAATTTCCAATTGCCTTTTCCAACTGATGATTGTGTGTCTCCTAGTCCCCGTGTGCCCGGCCCTCTCCCTTCCCCCTGCCGCCTGGCCTCTCTGCCTCCTTCCCTCTCACCTCCTGCTCCTGCCGTCAGTGGCTTTGAAGTGTGTTCACAAGAGCGCTCAAGAGAAAATCCATTTCTGCGCTGTCTGGTTCTAAATGGACGGGGCATGGGCTCTTTGCAGCCTCTGGTCGCATCGCCTCCCTCTCAGGGTCTCTGGAGCTTTCTTCTCTGAAAGGTGATGCTCGCGTCTCCTGTCTCATCTCCTCCTGACCAGGCTGTCACCAGGCAGTCACTCCTCAGCAGTCCCCGTGGGGGGGGAGGCCCTGTGCCCCGAAGTAGGCTGCCTTCCTTGCACACTTGAGTTTCCTCCTCTGTCAGTTCGGCTTTGAGAAATATTGTCCGGCCCTCCTCCCAGGGCTGGGGGGTAGGGGGGAAGCCTAGAGCTCCTGGCTCCAGGGTCCTGAGGTCTGGAGGGAGCATGGCTTCTGGAGGCAGGCTGTGTAGGGTTGCATTCTGGCTTCTTCATTCACTAGCTGTGTGGCCTTGGGTCAGTCACATAACCTCTCTGTGCCTTGGTTCCCTCATCTGTGTGTTCATTATAATAATGGTCCCTGCCTTCTGGGGTGGCTGTGGGGATTGAGTGCAAAGTGTTAATACTTGGAATAGCACATCGGGTACAAAGTTTAAGCACTATGTGTTTGAAAATAAAGGACTGCCGTGGGGGCCAGCAGTGTGCCCTGGGACCTCTGTCCACGTCTGTGAGTGTGATCTGAG